TCAATTGGGATAGGGCATTTCTTTATGATATTTCTAAGTGAAGTTTCATTTTGTTTGTAGTTGATGTGCATTTGATGTTTGTAGAAAATGTTTCTTATTTTTGACTGTGTTCACTATTATTATTTACTTTGGGAAGAAATAGTTTAATTTGGTGGTCAATAAGGTGGTTAGGGAAGCCAAAAAGTGCTTGGAATTACAGAATATTCACATGTGGCCTGACGATTACATTTAGCATGAAACACCCTGTCGCCTCTGAGTGTTGACTTCAATGTTCACTTTTATATTTACACACTCTCTATCTCTGATACCCACCCCATCCATATATAAGCTAAAATTAATTGAAAAATAGAAAGCTTCATAAAAAGAATAAGATGGAAAGCCCAACTTTTACACAAAATAAAGAACGTATGCCCCTTAAAAAGAAATTGCTTACAAAACAATGAAATATACCAAACCATGGTAAAATCATTAGATAACGAAGAAAAAATATACATAGGAGTAACTGAAGGACTCTGGAAACAAAGAAACTATGCACATTAAACATCTTTTACAAATAGTAAATACGCAAACAGTAGAATATTTTCCAAGTATATCTAGGAAATTAAAACCAAAACGCAAATCACACCAAAAATATGGAAAATAAGGAAAGGATCATGTGGCGGACATGACAGAACCTGGGATGAGCACAACTGGTAATGCGACTTGCCTTGTCAATATAAAAAAGAGCCGATTTACTTAGCATGTAAAGCTACTGCAGTTGAAATGAGGAAGAGAAAAAAGCACTTGCTCTGCCGTAATCCATCCTCGGCCAGATAACGTAAAAAAGAATGAGGGGGACTGGCATTGCATTTTTATCCAATAAAGATGCAATGCATTATGGGACAGGGACGCATTGAATTATGGGATCACATGAAGGCGCAAGGGATTATGGGTATATGAACAACTATAAAAGCAACTACTTTTTTCCAGAGTCGGGGAGTTCTTGAGGGACGTTCACGGTTGACGGCAAGAACAGGCAGTTAGTGTGATTTTGAGACAGAACTCAAGAAGGAAAGACTCAAGGTTGAAATACCAGCTGGGAGAGCTTGAATTTACTCGCTGGTTACTGTTTTCTTTATTCGCCTCAGATCATCAGCCTACAACAATTAATTTAAAAACTGCAAACTCTGCTTGGAGGAAAAAATAGCTCTAATTACCTTCCCAGACCAAAACGAACTACTAAATAAACAATCAGAACTCATCTCAAAATGCAGACACAAAAACAAATTTTTTCTATGTTACTTAAAAATTGAAAACTGAAAAGAATAAATAAGATAAAAATAAATAAGCAAAATCAAGTAAAATAAATTAATCCAAATAAATAAAATAAATAATAAATAGATTAAGAAACCACTTCCACCAAAATAACCATTAGAATAGACTACCCACAATGCATCATATATATATATATATATATATATATATATATAGCCAAGAAAAAACACAACACATGTGGCCTGATGATTGCGTTTAACATGAAACAGTTTGTTGCCTCTCTGATATTGAGCACTTTATCCTATAAATATATCATACCTTAAAACTATATTTCTTCATATTTGCAAAATAAACAAATGTTACAGTAAATACAACTGACACTGTTTTTTTTAATATTGGAGATAGAGACATTATAGGCTTTCTCTTTATATAGGTAATTAAATCACAAAAAAAAAAGGAAAAAATCCTGTTACACTTTTGTCCTTCAAATAATGTATTTTATTGATGGAATCATACGTATTTAGGAGGTGGAAACAAATCAATGTTTGTTGTATTTCATATAAAAGCATTATTTAGACTGAAAAATGAAACATGTAACATAAGTTTTTTCCATTGTCATTTTATTACTATAGTGGCTCCATCTCTAATATTGAATTCTTTATATCCCATTATTATTTGAACATCTGTTTAATGCAATCACTTTGTGTACATTGTTATTTGTTAGCTGTATTTTATGCTATTAGAATTTCACCTCTGACCTCAAATGGAACATGAGTCAGTGCCAAAATATCCAGGTCAAATGGTTGGTTCTCTGTGCTATCCTCTACCTTTACAAGAGCCAGATCAGGCCACGGACGGAGTACCGTTGGCTGGAAGCTGTACAGACCATACTTTCAAGCCCTGATAGAGTCCAAAAGCATCTGAGTCCTTGTGGGTGACAAATTATTTTCTATCTCCAACCTCTCTCTTATAGGCGGGATGTGGCAAGTATCTCACTGCTCTCACTATTTCCATGGAAAGTGCTCAGATGAACTACATTCCTTGGTTCTGCCAGGCACGGCAAGGACCCGCCATGCCCACTTACATTGTAGCAATCCCACCCACATTCCCTCTGTATTCCATCAGTGAGAAGTAAGTTCCACTTGAACAGCTTCTTCCTGTCAATTGCTGCTCTGTGGAACAGACTCCCAAGAGGATGTTTCCCTGATTATTACAATCTTAACCTGTTCATGTCTAGGGTTAACCATTACCTCCATTCAAATTGCCTCCTAACTCTTTATCTTGAGTGACACCCGGGTCTTGTACAGGGTGAACTTTCTTCTTTTCATTAGACTAAATTATTGTAAATTTTAAACATAATTCCTGAAAAAAAAAACTACTTTGATCTTCTCCCCCCCCGACCCCGCCATTTTGATCCTCAGCCTCTCAGTCATGTTCGTCAGCTTCCATGCAGATTTCTTTTATCCTCCTGATTAGACTCGTCTCAAGTTTGTATTTCTTTTTTCCTAGTTTCACCCTTCAGGTTTTCAATAAACCTGTTGATGAACAGAATTTTTGTCTTCAGAATTTTGATTGCCATAAGGCATTTATCTGATTGTCAAAGAGACAGACATGAATAGCAAGGCTGTACCTCTCTATCACCCATGCACACACCCTCACACACATCTATAGTTTTACTCTGAGTCTGTCTTGGCACAAAGGTCCAAAAACACTGTCAACTAACTTATGAGAAACTTCTTTTGGATACAAACCTATAGACATGAGCATGATACTTTTCTTTTATTGTGTTTTGTTTTGCTACAAGTTGAATATGTTTGTTTATTACATTTATAGGTAATTGGCCAGTGTAATAGATGTGTGTGAGGGTTTCTGCATGTGCAAGCAGCAGAGAAACCTTATTTAGGCTTTATTCAGCATATCTGAATAGTTAGTATAGACAGAATAACTTATAAGCAGGAACAGTCCATTTTACAAGGGAGGGGGGAAAGGAATGTTCACCACAGCCAGTATGAAACAAGATGTATGCATTACTGTGTAGCTGAATTGCAAGATGGATGTCACTTATGTTCCATGCATGATACACGCTTAGGCGATCATGTATCTTTTGATACATGACTGACGAAGCAGATAGGTTGCCATTTCTTTCTGTGGCAGACCAGCTGCCATCCAAGGCTATAGTACCCGGTCTGTCCTGCTATTTACCCATAGCTGGTGGGGGAGAAGAAGAGGATTCATATCTTTCCCAAGGGTATCAGCACGTAAATGAATGTAATGGATTTGACAGATATTTGAACTCGGCTCTCCGATTCCTCAATCTGAGACGCTAACCATTACTCTGCTGTGCCTATGAGATTGATTGATTCATTTTTTTTAAGGCTTATCAACCCTTTTGTGTTTGTTTTTTTTTAAAGCTGAAACATGTTTTGGATTGTAAGAATGATTCTTTTTTGCAAATGAATATTGCAGTAACAATTTTTTGAAAATAACAATGATTTTTCCAGATACAAGTCCTACTATTTAACCCATAGCTGGGGAAAGGGGGGGACTCATGCCTTTCCTAAGAGTATTTGTGCATAAGTGAATGTAATGAACTTGACTGGAATTCGAACTTGGCTCTCTGATTTCTCATTTATTACACCACCCACACATCCGGATGTGAGAGAGACATGACACACACTAGTCCGTGTGGGGCAAATAGGAAAAATAAGAGGTGAAATTTGTGAAATCAAATAATTGGTATTGGCAAGCTGAAGATTTGAACTTGGAATTAGGCAGGATTTTACAAATATAATTCAGTAGTTTTCTCCCTTCTGAAGTTGATAAATGGATTTGCCCTTATGATGAAGGCCACGTGTTAATTTATTTATGCAAAACTGGGAAAGTTCATCTTTGACAAAGGAAACAATAATGACTACAAAGAAATCCAAAATATCCTTTTGATTAAGCATTGTTTGCTCTCACATTGCTGGAAAAAAAAAAAAAAAAAAAAGAAAGGTTTCTGGGGAAAACTGATAGATTAGAAAACAAGTACTTGTTTGTGAAATTGTATCATGTTTCAGGCTTTTCAAAACAAGCTGTACACTATTGATTCGTGACTAATGACCATTTGTATCAATATATTAGGATAACAGAGCAACCAAGTCAGATTGTCTTCTGAGCTTCCATTAGTATGGAAGGCCAATATTGCAATATCAACATAAATTCATCATCTTCTATGAAAAGAGAATCAATGTCCCTTTCAAGTTGCTGGACTCTTCCTGGATAGGATATTCTTTGTGCAATGCTGAAGATAAAACCAAACTCCTTCAAGGATGCCAAATACATCCCCATCTTGCAAGATGTAGTGAATCTAGTAGAAATGAAATCACTTTTATCCATATGCTATTTTTATATTAGTTGTGTGCAAAAGTTACCAGCACTGTTCTTGGAAAAAAAAAACTGAATACATAGTTGGAAAAAGATTTTTCTGCTGGAAATGTTTTCCATACAAAAAAAATAGTTGAGCAGCAATAAGCCGACTTATATCCGAATGTAATGGTGATTCCTTCCAGTTAAGCTTTTTAGCCCTTGTTAACTGATAGATCCCAAATCCACAGCAGAAAAACAAAAGGCAACATGTAATACTTCCCCTAAAATAATACAAGAAATCTGCAGGCTTTAACCCACCATAGGACCTCATCTCCTCCATTTACCTCCATTAGTTGATGCCCTCAAGTGGTAGCATCTGCAGGTTTAGTGAATATTACTCAAGGCCAGCAAGCAGAAAGCCTGGCTGGAGAGGGTACAAGCAGTAGCAGAAAGCCTGGCTGGAGAGGGTACAAGCAGTAGCAGAAAGCCTGGCAATATTTGGGTACAAGCAGTAGCAGAATGCCTGGAGAATATTTACAAGCAGTAGCAGAAAGCCTGGCTGGAAAGAGTACAAGCATTCAGCAGAAAAGCCTGACTGGAGAAGGTACAAGCAGTAGCAGAAAATGAGAAAAGAAGGAGCACAGTGAAGACGAGTGATTTTATAAAATAATGAAGATATTTAATCAAAAACACTTGAAAAAGAAAGTGCATTTGTATGTATTATAAATGTCAGATTGTAAAATATTATCTTGTTTAGTTGTCAAAACCTGTGAACTTCCACCTGCGCTCAAGTGATGCCCCACAACCAAAGACTTCCAGTTTGAAGAGTGACGGTAATCTCTCAAGCAATTCTTCTATCTCACTTGCACGTATTTGTATCTGCATCTGCTTTAGGTATGACCAGATATAATCAGGACTTGCTCCCATTGGATGCACATTCAAAAAACAACTTAATAAACCTGCAGAAGGGGGACAAAAGAAAAAGAAAAATTATATAGGAAGAAAATGTTTGAAATAATCAAATAATTTGAGAGTCATTGAGAGTTTTAATTCAAAATTTTTGTATGTAATCAAACTATGAGAATAAATTATCCCATTTAGATTTTAAAATACAAGTCATAGAAGACATTCTGATGTAAGGACCTAATCGTGTCCAGTTAAAAAATGGCTAACAAAAACATTTGAAAAAAGATAAGCTAAATTTAAGAAAATAAATAGCAAGAATAGATTAATTTTTTTCTCACTAATGTGTCTGGAAACAGGCTAGTGTCCAGACACAAGTAACTTTCTCCTTTTCATTGTGTTTAAACAGGATAGAAAATGCCTTTAGAATGATATAAGCTTCCTTTGTTGCTTGATAAGCAAAGTTGGTGGAAATTTTGTTCTTTTAGAAGAGGTGAACATTTTTTTTTCCATGTCGTTGAAAAAATTCTGGTGTTGAAAATAGTATTTATGTTTTAACTTACCAATGAGTTTGATTTGTTGCTTAGAGATAACTAAGTCATTACTGTTGATAGCCTGAGATGTGGACAAGGAGAGACAGGGTAAGGAGTCATTTATGTTGGAAGAGGATGCACTTTGATCTTCAGAATCAACTGACTGATTCTCTTGATCTGGTGTCGGATCTTTACTTTTTGAGGAATTTTCTTCAGAAGTAGAATCTGTCAACTGGACAAAACATTAAACAGTGTCATCGTTAAGATTACTTTCATTCGAAAACAAAACACCATCAATATCTGATTGTCAGCAGGAAAAAAAATCTGAACTGTGATTAGCAAAACAGAATTACACGATTAAAAGAGGAAAGTGAGTCTAAATGAAGATTACAAATTGAAAATATTTGGTTATATCTGGGGATGAGATTCCAAACATTAAAGATGAATTCTAATTCTTGTGACTGATAAGAATGCCATCTTAAGTTTGTCTATATTTCTGAGATGAGGTATTATGTACATTATTTTCATTATTCGGACTATTGTTCTCATCTGTCACCATATTTATCACAAAGTTTCGGCCGCTGTATGCTCCGGCCTTCTTCAGGTGGTTGGAATGTTGAACTGAACCCTTTATTTCACTCACTGGCATAGACTGTTCCAGTTACATGTGCCATGTCTAATAGATGTCAGTTATCAGTTATCTCCTGTTAATTTTCCCTCTGAGAGTTCTCCACTGCCTTAACCGGGTATTGAACTCACACTCTTTGGGTCTTGTCACTGGATCTAACCAACGCCTTTATCCACTGTGCCATGTGTCCTTAAGTTCCTTAAAATGAATTCACTATCAAACTTTTCTTAACAACTATTTTTGATATTCATTCCAGAATCCTTAGCCATTTTGTATTCTGTCCCACAATCTTACCACCAAATGAATTATTTTCTTGGATGACAAGCATTTGAATTGTCAAAGAAAAATGAATGAATAAAAACATCAAAGTCACTTGTGAATCTTAATTTGACAAAATAAGCAAAGATTAGAAGAAAAGAAAAACATTGCCACAGCCATCTTACCAATTTTGTTTGTTCTATTCTTTGGAGAGCCAATTGCAAAGCTTCGATCTCTTGCTCTTTTTCTTCCAATTGCTTTTCCAGATTCTTTCCATTTTCATCTCATGATCCAAGACAGGTACACATAAGAATCACATTTGCAACAACATTTAATCTTTTAAAATTCATTAGAAATATTTCTACTTCAAGAAAGAAATCCTTAGTTCTTGTTTTCTCTTCTTCTCTATTGTGGCAGATGAAAATGCTTTCTACAGAAGTTGTTACATTTATTAAATAACACAAACTTTGTAGAATAGATGGATTCACTTTGGACAAGATAGAATATTGGCCAGGGATTTTCCAGAAGTTCTCTTGAAGGCAAATAAAAAGATAAGTAGCTTTTAAAAAATATATATATGAAAAAATAAAATGTTTAAGTTATTTACCGTATCATTTTTGCTAGATGATGGCATTTCAGAACTGTTTGACAGCTGACGGGAAGAAATTAATTGCTTTAAAAAAAAAAAAAAAAAAAAAAAATTGTATAATTGAGGAATCAGATAAAAAGAACACAAGTTTAAATTTGTCATAAAACAATAAAGAAAAATGACTGTTAAAAACAATTTGAAGCTTGACTTTTAGAGATTCCAGAAGGTTAAAGTTAACTAATAGCATCACCAACTACCTTTTTCTCTGCTTCACATATGACTAGATATAGTCTACATATATTATTTTATATATTTTCCTTTCTCTCTCATATATATATATATATATATTACATGTAGATAAAAATTTTCTATAAAAAGAAAATTATAAAAAAATAAAAATTAAATAAATAACAAGAAACTAAATACATAAATAAGACCAAATTACAAATGAATTATAAATAAGATTATATAAAATAAAGTAAATATCAAATTACTATAAAGTAGAGTTCACACCTTTTATCATCTCTCAGTTGTGTCTCTGTTTTTGGGTAGAGTGCGACTTAGTTGCAGTTCCATGAGAGGACAGAGGTGCAACTGAGGAAGATCATACTGTGAGGTGCCCAGCCCTGGGGAGCAAATGCCTGAGGCTGCAACTTTTCATTGCAATAAAGAGAGGGATCGGTGCTCACACCAAGGCCATTGCAGCAACCGATAGTTGCAGGGGATCAGGGAATCACAAGTACAGGCACTCGGTTTCCCCACATTAAACTGACATTGTGTCACAACCTGACTCCATGGGTAGGGTTTTGGTGGTAAATACCTACTATAAAGTAGAACTGGGGCTTTTTAATCGCAGAATTTGTCAGAGAATTGAGCTCTAATTTCAGTTATTCATATAGATTCCATAATATATGTTTCTCTAACACTTCAAATGTTGAATGTATAACTAATTCTAATTTCTATTTTCCCAACTTTACACTATATTAATTTTATCTTTAAATTGTCCCCTGTTCTGTCACCCATGAAATAAAAATAATTGTTTGTATGTAAAATAAGGATCTAACGTACATCAGATCGTCATTAAATTAAGTGGCAGCAAAAGAATTAACGTTGAACTTTTAAAATGTAAGCTTAAATATTAATGTAATACTTAAATTCAGTGATCAATTTTGAGTTCTTCTGTAGTTTATTGTTGCCTATTGCATCTACTCTTCCCTAGCTATTGTGATGATGGCTAAACCAAGAGTTTTCCACAGGAGCTAGCTTAAATGCTGTCCATTTAAGCTAGCTTTAATTTCGATATTAAACTTAAAATTTGGAGTACAATATTTGGTGGTGTTTGCAAAAAAACATTATTTCATTTCTTCATATTTACCTTAAAAAATTAGTAATTTATAAAGGCATAGAAAAAAAAATTACAATAGAAATTAAATCCTATAATATAAAAAAAAATTCCACAATACCATATATAAATAATCATGCAACACCATATAAAATCTATTAGCAAATTAAATTAATTTGAGACATGTATAAAACTATAGGATTAAAAATAAAACCCAATCACATTTAAGAAACCATCAACAAAAAACCCCCAAAAAACAAATAAATAAACACCAAAAAAAAGACTATAACTAGCATTAATCAGTAAGTTTTAACAAATAGTAATAAAAACAACAGTGCCTGAGAAAAAAAGGCCATTGTAGCCAGACAAAAATCCCCCAACCCATCCTTACATGACTCCAAAAATTTAACATATAATAAACATTCATACTTTCATCAGAGTAGAGACTTGTAGTGGTATTGATGACGTAAATCAACCTGCTATTTTTTTACTTTACAAATGTGGAAGCAAACAAAAAGCAAACAAGAGAAAGAACACAAGAAAATAACTTTTCATAACAGGTACAATATTTATATATGTCAACGGTTTTACATGAACTGTTAGTATGAGTTACTTCCCTTTGACTGAATTAAAGTCTTTACTACTGAAAGTTTTTTTTACCGGAGCTCATAAAAAGTTGAATTAACTTGTCGCTCAAAATGTTCACTGAAAGAGAGTTTAAAGAATTCTGTAAAGCTGAAAATATGTTGATAAACTTTTAGCTTTAAAGAAGTTGGAGAAGTGAATATTCTGTAATGTTTAACTTGTTTTTGTTGCTCATATTTGAATGTATTGTTCGTAATGTTTGTAATTAAGTTTCATAAGATTCAATAGCGTGATTGAATAGTTTTTTTAGTAAGTTCCAGAAGAAGTTGATGAGTGAGTCGTTTAGTTGAAATTTTAGCTTGAATTACAGTGAAGTTATTTCATGTTAAAGAACTTGAGATTCTAACTTTGTACTTCACTGCAGTAATGATACAAGTGTCGTGAACTCATTTAGCAAATACTAGTCGTAAATTCTCACTGACTGGGTTTTTCGATACATTCAATCTATACGTTTTTTAATCCCATGACAGGCTCCAAGAAGCATTGTTTTTTTCGTCAGGTCAAAAACTAGGTTGATGTTATTCGGACGTATTCGAACAGGTAAATTGTATTTTTTAATATTTGTTAACCAGTCAGAAAGCATCTTACAAAACTCAATCTGGAGCCTGATATGTTTTGTTTTGCTGATTGAGAAACGATGAATGTGAAGATACATGAGATAATTTTAATATTTATTTTCCAATGAGAAGTTAAGGTTTTCTGAAAATATGTCAGAAGCTGTGATTCATTTTTTGCACAAAAATCAACATTGATGAAAAAGTGGTAGCAGAATGCTAAAGACTCCTTGATAACAAAATAAAAAATCCCAGATTACACCTCCATTTCCAATCTATAAATGAGTAAAACATTTCTTCAGTTAGTTATTCTAAACATCGCTGGAGAATGAAACTGTACTCCAAATTTTAAGTTTAATATTGAAATTAAACTTTATGACTTGTGTGAGTTTCAAAACATAGTAATTTCTGTATCGCGCTAGAATAATATTTTTTTTAAAAAATAATTATAGTTTTAAGCTCTGTATTGAGTACTGATTTTTAAAAATAAAAACATAAATACTAAAGAACTTTGGATCATTAACCTAACTGTTCTTTCCTATTACATCAATATATATATATATATATATATATATATATACATACACACACACACACACACATATATATATATATATATATATACTTACACAATCAAACCATATCATATCATTTAATCTATCACAAAATGAAATTTCTGTTTCTAAAAATTTATTCATAAAAATTGAGAATATTTTTAATGTATTTCATAAGAATTAAAAAAATAGTCTCAGATGTCAATCTGTGTTGTGTACATTATAAACTGTATATTATAAACTGTACATTATAAACTGTACATTGAAAGATGAAATGACTGCCACTGCAACACTGTGTTAATGTCATCAGCTGACACTGAAATAAAAACCATTAATGAAGTTGCTATGTTGGTGGTTGAGAGAATTTCAAAATGTAAGAAAGATATTGAAATATAACAGAGAAATCTGAAAATGCAAATTTTACACTTGGCCATTTTGTTTTTACATTTGAATAAGAGTTGCATTGAGTTTTGTAACTCTAATTACATTCTGCATTGCAATTTGTCATCTGTTGAAGATCGTGTTAATATGTTGATCCAGGAGAGCTGCTTACTTTACAGGTTCTTAAATAAAAAACAAACATCTTCTTGTTAAAATGAAAAGTTTTTTTTTTATATATATTTGGGTGTTGGTGCCAGCAGTACAGTATTTCAAAGTCTGCTTTATTTACTGATGGTTTGGGGTGGCAGGTGGTTGATTGGAATCTGCATAAGACAATTCCTTCATAACAAAATGACACTTTAGGGATCAACAGCATTATTTTATTTAGGGGAGGGGGGGTCTGTCCATATATTTCCTGGAGATATTCCCTTATGACATAATATCTCTTCTTGAGTATTAACACTGGATTATACTGAGGGTCAAAATATAAAATATTCCATTATAAGACAATGTTCTTTCTTAGATATGCAGCCTTGTTTCAAACAGCTATCTGTGTAAAAATTTGCTGTGGGGTGTTGAATTGTTGTGTTAAGAGAGAACAATAGAATCCAGTTAAACAAAGTGAATTTGAAAATTATAAGAATAACATAAATGAAACAAAATAAAAACATGGAATTGTTTTAGTCTGCACTTACTTGTTGCATTCCCTGTAATGCCAATTGTAAAGCTTTTATTTGCTTGTCTTTCATTTCCAAAGAATTCAGGGATTCTTGTTTGGCTATATTAATCTCATTCTTGTAAGCTTCTAGCTGACACTTCAAAGCATCATTCTCATATTGCAAATTTTGATCTGGGAAAAGAAAAGTTGGAAATCTCTTGCAATGAAGTTTCTTCAACCTTCCAATGTTTAAAAGCCAGATTTACTAACTTCATAGGAATAATTATAATATTTGTCTAAGATGTTTTCTTCCAGTTGCAAAGTACAAATCCTCAAATCCAGTAGTGGACTAACTGTTTTTTGATCCAACTGAATTTAATCAAAACGTTTTATTCACATTTATGGGTCAAAGATCTTGTCCAAACAATCATCATTATTATTTGATTCACTGCCAGAAGAAAAAAATAAAGAAAAAAACTCTTGCAAGATATTTTTATCAGCTAGTCTCAGGTTTTTAAGATATGAGATGTAGAAAATATGGTAAGAAACTTTTTTTTTTACTTTTGTTGAGTAATCTAACTTCATGATGCTTCAAATTAAATATTTAATTTGATTTGGTTTGGTTTGGTTTCAGAGCTATTGAAGTTGAGCAATAGTTGACTCATGTCACACTGTGTTCATTAGAATGGTATTATGCATAGGAGATCAATTGCTAAAGGTTTTGGTTGAGCTACAGTACTTGTAAAATCCGTTTTAAATAATCCTGTTTATCAACTGGGAAAATATGATTTGAATCAACACTGAACAATAAATGATCATTTGTGATGCTTACGTTTGGACAACATGAGTGGACTTTAAATTTCTAGTTTCTGTTTTATTTAATGAAAAGAAAAATGATTTACAGTTAACTCAAAAATTACTTGATGCGTGGAAGAAAATCTTCCTGTACCTTAAATGCAAAACTGAGGTTTCTTGTAGTCTAATTTTACCCGCAACTTTCAAAATCAGAGGATAAAATTTTACCACAGTCCTACCAAATCCAAATCCAACTCCATAATTATTTATTCAAACCTCATCATTATAATTATTATTATTATTATTATTACTAATACAACTAAGTCAATTATTATAAAGTACAGTGATGTCCATCTCTAGCAGAAAAGATCCATAATGCCTAAATATGGCTCAACACCTTCCTGTCATTAACCCTAGAACACTAACGATCAATTAAAGTTACATCTCTACTAACCATGGGTATATCATACCCGATTTTGAAAATGTCAAAAAAATATTAAATATAAATCTTTATTTGAAATATTTTACATGCAGGCACTTCAAACTTTGTACTTTTAACATTAATAGGAACTGAAAAACATTATTTAGGTAAGAAAATCAGGTACTGAAAATTGTAATTAAAAATAGGAAAATTCATGCTGGGTACTATATACCCATGGTTTGTGTTCTAGGGTTAATGAGTTGAAAACTACAGATGAGAGAGAGAGAGATAGAGAAAGACATAATTGGAAAGAAATATAAGTAATAATAAAATGGGAAAACATAACATTAAGGCCAGAGAAATATGTCCCTCATGAATTGGTCAAAGAATAATGATTGACAAAAGATCGGTAGGTGTTTGCATGTAATGAGTGCATAGAAAGGGGTGTTTAGTAATGGCAGATACAGCAATAATGGTGATGGTTGAATTTACAAAACTTATTAATCTCATGATTATGTCTGCAAGTGGTAAGAGATTAGGCATTGACACCATTTGTTACAAGCAACAAGCGATAAACTATGCTAAAAAGCATGTGAACAGAGCAGTAGTAAGGGTTTTGGCCTACCACTTACTGGGGAAACGATATATATTTGCTGACAGCCAGAGGAGGTAGTACTGCCCTGGGTCAAGAGGATAGCTGCTGGAAGACCCTATATGTCTGGCAACAGGACTCTGCACCATGCCACACAACAAGCATGAGAACCCAATCATGGTTGTGAAACAATTTCTGCGACCACATCCCCCACCACTTACATTTGGCCATCTAACTCCCCAGATTACAAACCCTCTTATTTCTGTCTGGATTTATGCAATGAGAAATTAATGTTATTTAAACGATTTACAAGTAGTATTGTCCTCATTTTTGTTGTTTTTATCTAATGTTTTGGCATTCCTGCTCTTCAGCCTTCATCAGGTGCATGTCAATCCAGACAATCTACAGGGAATGTCAAACTAAACCCTTTTATTTAATCTTAGGGGATAGATTTGATTCATTCCACTTCTCATGTCATGAGACATCTCATCTATTTCTTATATTGCCCTATTTTTGGCCTGAACTTGAAGACGATAAGAAATGAAAATTGGCTGAAGATCAAAGGAAATCAGGAAGAAGTGTTTCTATTGAAAATGAAAATTCATGAGGCCAAGAGATGATCCGAAGAAGAAACGATTTAGAGTTTGTCAGGATCAGAAGGTTGGTGCTACTTATTTATGAAACAGCTGGGTTTATCACTGCATACAGAGGCATTGATTACACAGAAAATACCGGCTGTTTAAGATGAAAAAAATAGAAATTTTATAAATTTGTTACAAATACATGAAAGGGAACACATTTTGAAATGGAAGTTCCGTTAACATCTGATGCAACATTCAACAAGACACGGAAATCCTTTTCTTGAATATGTCCTGGTGAAATATACCTGTGTCTTTTACATCATCAAATATGGTAACCTTTTCATCACACATACATTTCAAATACAATGATACAATTGGGTGGGGTACTGAAAAGTTATTGATCACATCAAGTTGCTCTCCCAAAAATCGTTCAAATTTTGGAATATGTGGTCAGGCCGCATGTAAGTGTCTACATCTTTTAGTATTTTTTGAGAAGGCCAAACAGGATGGAGGAGGAGGGAGAATTTTTGTTTTAATATCTCAGAGAACATCTCAGAAGGTGTAAAACTGCATTTATATATAAATAGTAGATTGGTTTGTTGGATCTACCATTGTGGGTGGTGGGGATTCTATTATTTCTAGAATAATGGGTTTCTTTGGCATCTCCTCTACAAGTAATGAGAGACATGAAAATTGGGTTACACATTATTAGTAGCAGGATAAAAATTATAATATGACTGTACTCTTCATTGTTAACCAGTGGCAAGACCTTTGTTCATGTGGAAATAAGATGAAGTGCAAGAGAGGTGTATTCTTGCCCTTTTCAGGATTATTGCTACAAATCTATTTGATCTCTGCTGGAATTAAGATTTAGTTTGGTAATTCCAAATCGCTACTTCAAGCTGCCAATGAAGTTTGCAACACTTTAATGACTTTTGCTGGAAATTTTATTAAAAATGCTATTGAAGGTTAAATTCATTGATTCTGTGATAATTAAGGTTTAATTTGCTCCGTCAATCAATGGGTAAACCTCATCATGCTTTTCCTGCAAAGGAAATTCAAATATTTAACTCACCAATCTCTGATTTCGTTTTCTTGGTGGGTGGCTCAGCTGGCGTTCCAGGCTCACCATCTTCTCCATCAGACATTTCCATTGCATCATCTTGATACTCATTGAAGAATTCTTCCTGCTGAGCAATCTGGATCTCCTGTGAAAATCAGAATATGGCAAAAGTGATGCCTATCACTGAATATCAAATAGACCAACTTTTAAAAGTCAATCTCATATGTATATCCTCCTAAAGAGTAACTCTTCACCAACTGAAGTCATATTGGTAGCGACTAATGACAAACTGAGGATACCAACTATGAGGCTAGAAGGGACTTACCCCAGGACTGACCAAGAAACATTCCAATGATTGCTGGTCAGTGGAACATCAGAAAAGTTTTCTATAGCCTAACTACAAGATACTTGTAGTTAGGTTATAGAAAACTTTCAATGTTCTGATTTGCCTGTGAATCAAATATAAGCAAAAAGCAGTTCGTACCGTCCTGTGTAGTGTATGACAGTGGGGGGTGGGGGCATAAAGGAGATGACAAAAGGACACTGAAACACTATAATCTGAAGTGATCTCTGGCATCCTTTAACCTTTTTAAGCATACAGCTACAGCATCAGAGCTTCTGTGCTTTCTGTAGGAAAGTAGATTTTTTATGGGTTGCTAACCTCGTGCCTGGCTTGTTTTGCATTCAGAGTTGTACTTCTAGAGTGGTTGCCATTCACAGATAAAGAACCCAGTTTGACCTGATATTTAACCCATAACTAGGGAGAAAAAGAGATGTATTCATAGCTTTCTCATAGATGATTGCATGAAAGTGAACACAGCAAAAATGGCTGGAATTTCAATTCAGCATGCCAATTCCACTCTTCAATAACTGCTAAGTTGCAAGCACATCAAACATGAACTAAAATCTTACTTTGACTGAAGAAAAACAAATTCTTCGATCCAAACAAAACATTTTATAAGGAATGAAAAAACTTTAGTTCTACCTTTGCATTTTAATTATTTCTGATACGAAAGTTTGGAGTTTTCTCATTCTTTAAAAAGATTTCCTTGGAAAAAGAGAAATCCTAAAATATGTGCCAGCAAAAGTTTCAAGCAGATTATTGATTACAGTTTTAGGTTGCCAACCATAAAGTGAATTTAGCAAAATTGTCCTTAAATAATTTGAGGGATACAAAGTTTTAATTTGGCTTCTTTAAAAATGGAAATTTTAAAAAGCATATATTTATATACAAATATATACAAATATATTAAAGCAAAGGAAGGGAAGAAAGGAAATGAAAAACCAATATTATTCATTGTAAAGTGGAAACTTGAATTATTAAAATAAAACAATAAGTTTTTCAATTTATAACTTTACAGTGATCTTTCTTATCCTTTCTCTCCTTTGTTTTAATATATATATATATATATATATATATATATATATATATATGAAGAAATATAGTCTTAAGATATTGCTACATTTATGGGATAAAGTGCTCAATATCAGAGATAGAGTGTATTATACTTGATTGCATCTAGCATGAAACAGATTGTCA